TACTCTCTTGCAGAATCACATTTTTTTAAAGTTTAAATGATTAATGTGTGACTTGAGCAGCCTGTCTTGTAGTTAAACCTAGAAAGAGATATTGATGAAGCTAGGTCTCAGAGCATGAATCACACATTGAGTTGTGTCTGTACTCAAAACCTGTCACAAAATAAAGTACCCCTCACTTTTGGGCCTGTTCAGATGATAGCAAGCTATTTTAGCACTCAGTTTCTGTGTATCTATCTAGTATCTGCCACTCCAAGAGCACTCTCCTTCCCAGTAAAATGGCTGGCTGAAGCTTCCTGAGAGAAGTCACACTTCTACCCAGCCTCCCATCTGCCTCTGTTAGATGGAGGTTTTATGTTCACATCCTGTATGAGCACTATGATATGTTCATAGAAAGATGGGATGGTTTGGGTTAGAAGGGACCTTAAAGATTATCTAGTCCTGTCCCCCCTGCCCTGGGCAGGGACCCCTTCCACTAGACCAGGTTACTCAGAGCCCCATCCAACCTGGCCTTAAACACTTCCAGTGATGGAACACTTCCAGCAAGGGGGACTGCTTGACACAGTTCAATTCAGGCCAAGTCCAGAAACAAAGGATGTATTTTATTTGCATTTTTAAAACTATCCATGGATTTAAATTTGTCTGGGACAAATATGAGTGGAATAAGTCAAATCTGGATTTTGAGTAAATTGAACCTGGGTTTTATTCTCACTAAAATACTGAGAAGAATGAAGGTACCTAGCTCTAGGAGAGAGAGTTCTTGAGAGAAACTGTAATTGTTCACTGTAAGGAAAGCTCTTTAGAGCAGTATTGAATGTATTTTTAATGCAAATATATCATAATTTATGTCAGACATCGAAATACCTTTGCTTTGTAAACACCGGAGTGGAGGCAGACCCATGTATATTGCTTGACCAATTGCTACCTGAAAACTGAAAATCTGTAGGAATGAACAGGGAAGGCTCCTTGCACATCTGGTTTTGCATCAGGTGCCCATGCTTTGTTTTCCCTCTATGGCAGCCCAAGTCACACAGTTTATAAGGAGATTCAAGTGGGATCATGTTCCACCAATTTTTACCAAAACCCTGTCTGTGGTATGGCAAACCCATTGACCCTGTAAGAAAACATGCAGTAGTCTGTGGAGAAATCACTCTGCCAGACTATGTCTTTAGCAGCAGATTTTGCTGACAGAACTTATGTGGGGTCATGAATTGTGGACATTTTTATGTCCCTGGATCATGTGTGTTCATCATGGCTTTTTTGAGATGTTGTGTGCCTTTGCTCCTAGAGCCTGTAACAGCAGAAGGGCTTGCAGTTGCCAGGAGCACATATACAGTGGCATTTTGCTGCTGGCTATCTTGGCTGGTGTTACTCGGAGAGGAGACTTCACTTTGGCAGGAGAGGGTTCATTTTGTTGGCTTGTATCAGCAATGCATAGAAAATTGAGGCAACTAATGCTGACTTCTGACTGCAAACCTACATAGGCCAGGTTGCAGCTACGATGCCTCCCAAGGAAGCACCCCCTACCAGCCCACTGCTGGCAGATGTTCAGTTCTTGCCTGATGATCTGATCCTGATACCTGAAATAAACAAGTCTCTGACACAGTAGCAAAAAAGCAAACAGACCTGTGTAGAAAAATACATGTTTTGAGGTGCAGGCTGTTTTTCTTTCACTATGTCCCTGATTTTTTCCCATTACTAGGATATATTTATTTGCTGCTAGGCTGCATAAATGGAGACGTATAAGAACAAGCTTAAATACTTCCTTCTGCAAAGAACTGAAGAAAAACTGTTCTTTGAAACTTACGAGTAATTCTGTTCAGCTCCTTTAACAGAAAAAAAAGAGGGAATTAAAGGTGAAGTTTGCATTAATTGGCAGTCCATTTTTACCTGCCTACAGTGCAAAGCAACAGAGAAAACCTTAAAATGAAGAAAACATCTTGTAGTGGTTCTAAAACCCACTGTGGACCTAAAGGAGACTTTTGGGAGTAAAAAAATGTTTAAAAAAATTAAAAATTGCTATGCTAAAGTAAATAAATGTCATAAAATGGGTATACTCCTAAACAAGGGATAATTGGTATATTGGTAATTCTTCAGTCTGGTACAGTGTGCTCCCACTTCAAACACCTTTTGTATTTGGACCTGTGCTGGCAGCTTTTCAAAGGAATCTCATACTTTCTTCTCTCCCCCTCCCTACTTTGCATAATAATTAGTATGTGAATATGCTTGTGATTTCTTCTTATTATTTTAATACAGTCATATTTTAGAGACTTCAATAAAGCTTGGAGGACAACCAAAGCAGATATTGCTCCAAAAGCCATGCTGTCTAAATGGAGTGGAAAACCAAAGCACAGCAAAGTAGCATCATGTCACTCCCTCTTCTTTGCAGGGGGAAACATTGTACCAAGCAATTGTGCATCAGAAGAGATTCAGGAACCGCTCAGGCAGTGTTTTGTGCCTAACAGCACACTCCACCAGTTGCTTCACATGCTGTATAATAGGAGGTGAAAAAATCCAACAGTAAGTAGTGTCATATGTCCTCATTTTAGGTTGAATTCCCCTTTCCAGGAGTTAGGTACCAGTTATTCCTTGAAGCACCAAGTTACAAACAGATAATTCTGATTATTTTTGACATTCATATATATCCAACCCCTTTCTTTAATAGTAAGTTCTTGACTCTGACACTGTTTCTACCAGTATAATCACAGCAGTGATGCACCCATACAGATACCTTCAAGCACCTGATAGTCTTTATGAGTTAAAGAGTATGCAAGATGGATGACAAAGATGATTTCTGGATGGTGGGGCTGGGATTTTGTCCAGCATAATAGCCTATAAAGTTTGTGAAACTGATCACAAGACTCTTCTGCTCCAGACTCCCCCAGATTTACAATTACAGTCCTGAGTAGGGAAAACCAAGCAATCCAAAAGTCTTGAGGTTGTAAACAAATCTATGTATTTAGTGAATAATGCAAAATAGAGACAATCACATAAGAGATGGGTATAAGGAAAATACCCTTTCCGAAGTTAAATGAGTATTGACGTGTTTCAAACCTATAAGCAGATTTGTGCATGTTGCTGGCTGAAGAGGGGTGGAGCTCTAGGTTTTGTTGTTATGCCTCTTAACTTGCTTTTGTTACTCCTCTGGCAAGGACAGCGGGAGACTAAAGTAGAGAGTTCACTACCCTCTGACCTGGGACTAATGACAGCTACACCAAGATATCTCTATCCTTCTGACTATTTGATGAAGGAGAAAAAAAGATGGCCTGGCTCTCCTTTCAACTTCTTGGTATAGAAGGATTAGCAAAGGAAACTAATTAAGAAAAAAATAATGGGAAATGAATTGGGTGAAGTGATTTAATTGTTAAGGGAGCAAATGAAATTACTCTCATGTATCAACCAAAATCCTAAATGCATATACTGCAAGTACAGTTTTACACGAGCTTGTTCATGAAAATGCCCTGCGTTCTCTCTTGCTGAAACTGAAAAGGAAGGCTGTACATTGGTAGTTAAGTTCAAGGTATTGTGGGTGTAACAGCCAAACTTTGAGGATATAATATTTTCTTGCACGACTTTCAGTGACATATTTATCACATGAATCACTGTATAATCTCTTTCCAGAGATACAATACTAGATGGACGCTTACAGCTTACAGGATACTACAAGTAAAGAATATACAGAATGTGCCACAAGGAAGGAACCAGAAAGGAAAATCTCTGACAGCCATTTCCTTGTGTAGCATTTCTGTTGAAGCAGTTGTTTTGTTACCCTCAATGGAACAGGACTCTTAAGGACTGTGGCAGTTTGAGAAATATGTTGTTTCATCCCACCAGTATGCTCCCTGATCTGTATTGCAGAAGACACAGTCCCAGCTGCAAAAACAGACTGTTCAGATGCTGTACTGAGAAATACAAGTGAAAAAATACAAATGAGTCACCTCAAATACAGAGGTGGAGGAGTCAGGTTGGCAGGAACAGCCATTATCTTATAATAATGTGTTCCAAATCCCTCCTCAAGGTACACACCCATGAAGCTCATTAGTATAACTCATTTCACTGAGGCAGAAAGTTCATGAATATTGGAATACAGTGTTGAATACTAGAGGGAAATTCTTCAATGTCTTCCTGCTACAATAGCTTTTTGGAAATGCACCAAGGGCTTTGATCATAAAAACCCTTACCTTTAAGCACCTGGGTAGTTCCATTGACTTAGAATAAAATGAGAACTTTAATTCAAGTGTTTGCAGATTAAGAACCATGTTTGTATTTTAAGATCTTATCTACAGAAGAAATTGCACTCATTTACCTAAGCGTTTTTATAAACACACCTTTATTTAAATGAGTGCAATGTTACTTCTGCAGGCGGCCACCATCTGAGGAGCAGTGGTCCTGCCTCAGTTCCTAGGAGTGTGAAGGCAGGAAAGGCTCTTAGGCAGCTGGAAAACATCAATGAACGACACAAGCAAAATTGCCATGCTCTGAAACACTCAGAAGGATGCTGCTACTGTGCAGGCAGCAGGAAAGGCTCCTTGTGCTTCATCCATTTTCTGTGTGCCTTGCACCAGTATCACACATTCGCTATGGAAGTGCAATCATAGAATTATCACACCATCATAGAATGGTGTGGGTTGGAAGAGACCTACAAACTGTCTCGTTCCAGTCTCCTCCCATGGGCAATAACACCTTTCAGTACATCACGCTGCCCCATCCCAGCTGGCGTTGAGTATTTCCAGGGAAGGGGCATCCATAACTTCTTTGGGAGGCAGTGCCTCACCGCCCTCACAGGCTCAGTCCCCTGGAAAACCCGCTGGTGGCGGGTGATGCTATCAGTCCCCGGCGTTGGGCAGCAGTGGCCGGGCCGGGCCCGCCTGGGCTGGGGCCGGGCTACGAGGCGCCAGGGCCGGGGGCAACGCGGGCACCGCGGGTCCCGAGCGGCGGCCCGGCCCCTCCCCTCCCACCCCCGCGGCGGCTCCTCCTTCCCCCATCCGCAGCCGGCTGGGCTCAGGGCTGTGCCGCCGCCGCCCGATCTGCACGGGGAAGGTGCGTGTTTGCTCTGCCCACCGCTTCATCTTCTTCCTTTTCGTCCTCCTCCTCCTCCTCCTCCTCCTCCGCACAGGGCGTTCTCCCGTGCTGCCCGCGCTGCTCCGCCGGGCTGTAGCGCTTCTTCGGGAGGTTTCGGCTCCGGAGGAGAGGCGTCTGGCCGCCATTCTCGGCGCCCAGTTGGGCTCAGTCCCGGCTGCTTGTCTCGCTTCGGAGCCGTGCAGCGTGTGCTGCCGTTCGCCGCCCCTCACCCGTCCCGCAGTGGGGCCTTGGCCCGCTGGGCCGCAGCCGCGGTGCTGCCGGCCCTGCCCCGGTCGGCGGGCTGGAGCTCCCGGCCTGGCAGCGGGGGTCGGGATCGCCTCGCTGTATCCGCTGTTCCCCTTTGCTGGACTGACACCAGCATGGTCGTACTCGAGGAACATGGACATTCCATCGCGTCTCGCAGCGGAAAAGAATCTGGAGGTGCTTGTGGACAGCTGGCTGAACATGAGCCAGCAGTGAGCCCAGGTGGCCAAGAAAGCCAGTGGCATCCTGGCCTGGATCAGCAATAGTGTGGCCAGCAGGACCAGGGCAGTGACTGTCCCCCTGTACTGGGCACTGGTTAGGGTACACATCAACTACTGCATCCAGTTCTGGGCCCCTCAGTACAGGAAGGACATTGAGGAGCTGGAGCCTGTCCAGAGAAGGGCAGTGGAGCTGGGGAAGGGTCTGGAGCACAAGTGCTGTGAGGAGCAGCTGAGCGAGCCAGGGGTGTTTACCCTGGAGAAAAGGAGGCGCAGGGGACTTTTTAATTCTCTACAGCTACCTGAAAGGAGGTTGTTGACACATGGGGGTCGGTCTCTTTTCCCAGGTAATAAGTGACAGGACAAATGAACATAGCCTAAACTGTGTCAGGGGACTTTTAAGTTGGACATTTGGAGGAATTTCACAGAGTGATTAGTGACATTGGAATGGACTGCCCAGGAAGTGGTGGAGTCACCGTCCCCGGAGGTGTTTAAGGAAAGACTGGACATGGCACTTTGTGCCAGGGTCTAGTTGATGTGGTGGTGTTCAGTCAGAGATTGGACTCAAAGATCTCAGAGGTCTTTTCCAGGCTAATTGATTTTGTGATTCTGTGAAACAAAATCCTTTCTTACCCTCTTGTTCCTATTAATTTAAAAACAAATACGGGCTTGAAGTTGGCAGTCACACAGTGCTTGGGGATGCCTGGTCAGTGTTAGACAAGGCATGATGCTCTGCCATGATCCTGAAGTGAGCAAAGTTGACAGCAGTCACTGACCGAAAGCTAAAAAATATATAAATATTGTGAATATAATATATAAAAATATTAAAAAACATAAACATGAAAAATATGTAAATTCCGTGGTCTGAATCAGATTTGACTAAGAAAGCATTAGATGCAAAGGAACCTTTTGAATATAGTGGTTATATCTGCCAAGTTGTAAGTGTGCTCAAAACTACAAAAAGAACAAATTCAAGATACAAGTGCAAGAATTTTGTTTGTGTATTAATTACTTTTTTTTCCTCCAAACTGCAGTATTTTGAGGACCTGACTTTCCTAAGTGCTGCATGAGTACCAAAAGTACCTGTTCAGACAGTGCCATACACAAAGGCGCCTAAAATCCTAATGTCTTGTTAAGTGAACCTTAATTTTCAAAATTTTGCCTGTCTGTTGTTTTTGCTCTATTCAAAATTAGATCAGTTTTTACCATTTCTGGAGCTACTCTGGAGATTCTCTAGATCTGCTGTAGCAGTGTTGAAATCTATTGATTAGAGTATGTGAGTGTTTCTTCTCACAAAGCAATACTTGGGATGGCAATACAGCAGACTTCCTGTGTGGCAATGGAATAACTGCTTGCATCTTCATCTATCTGTAATGTATCTCTCTATTTTAGCTTGTGAAAATTCATGATTTAAGTTAGGGTGACAAAAGCTGGCCTTGATTTTGTTCTGGCTAATTTTCTGCAGGGATGAAAGCTTTTATTAGAAGTCTTTCTCATGCTTACCTGTCAGTTCTTAAAATCACCTTCCAATGTTGTCTGTTGCTCCTTCTGTTGTATTATTATTTTTAATAAAGTCTCAAATCCTTATTTCCACAAAGAAACCCCACAAAGCCTGCCATGTACATGAGAGTTCTTATGTCCCGTTTCCTTTTAAATTTTGTCTAATTCCCTTAGACATATCCACCCTATCTTGAATAGCATCTATCTATTGTCCCTTTCAATCAGTTTTACTTTACCCAAACTTCTGTCATTCAGATGAAGGCTGTGCAGATAAACTTGGATCAAAGCCACCACAGCATTAGAGGTTCATACAAAGCCTTTGTCTTACCTGATCTTGTTTCTTGGTCTTTAAAATACATATAATTCTTTTGAACAGCGAAACAATAAGTTAGTGAATCAGATAAAAACAGATTGCAAATCTGGGCTGGGGAAGAACAACCTGTCATTGACCCCTGTTGGGAGACATCTGTTAGCAAAAGCTCATATAAATTCGTATGTGTTTTATAACACGGTTTTGCAAATGCCTGCATGTCTTTAATGCCGATTTGAGAAAGGAAGCAATTTATAATATCTTACTGTTGATATAATTGCAGAAACTCATAATGCACATGGGATTCTTTTATCTATTCCTGCTATATTGTATAAAACTTTCTTGTTTTAAGATTGAAAACTTTGCCTTGTCATATCTTCCGTTCTTTTCGATTGTGGGAGGATGAAGATGAAGGGTGGCAGTACATCTAAGAGGTAGCAGCTGCAGGGGTGAAATATTTTGCCTAAAGAAGTACTTTGTGGGTAGAAATGTACGAAACGATTACAATCTTGAAGCTCTACAGTTCTTTCTGTTCTGTCTCGACAGGAAATATTATCTGTCAAAAACTGCGTTGCAGTAATCTTTCACTTTTGTGTTGCCAAATGTCTGCAGTAATCTCAAAGTAGTGAAATAAATGTAAGTTCTTTCTTCACTTGACCCCAAGTCAGTTACATTTTCACTATGATGGCAGTAGTGAAGTTTTAGCTCAGATGTGTAATCTCTTAAATGCCAATTACTCGATTAAGTCAGTATTTTTGCCAGAATCTTTGAAGAATTCTTTGGTCTTTTTTGTTTCAGTTTCACAGTACAAGAAAAAATTGTATGTGAGCATGAGAAAAATGTTAACCTTGTTAGCCTATAGTTTTTAAAAATGGTAATTTGGTACCTTGATCTTACAAGATACTTGATTTCTGATTTTGAGATGGAATGGACCAGTGGTGGGAGGTTTGCTTTAAATTTATTTATCTATCTACCTACCTACCTACCTGTTTTTTTATTTAATGGAAAATATTCAGATACTTGGCTCATTTGGATTCTTTCTTTATTTCTGTAGGTATTAATAATAGTAATGTTTTATCAGACTATTTAGGTCTAATTAACATAGGTCTCTTCTGTGAGTTTTCTCCACAGTGGATCAGAGAAAAATGTAGAAATCCCTTTGGTGCTATTGCTGCCAAGAGACACTTGATAGAAGTATCTAATGAATAGACGTGTAGATTAAAATACATCTCTAAGAATTTATGTATTTTGGCAAAGTGTTTTATTGTACTACACACTACAGTCAGAGGTATGGCAGAGGACCCGTGATCTTACAACCTGACTTCAGGAGAATACTAATGCTGTTTTAAAAAGGAAAATATATCAGTCAAATCTATCTCACTTCTCTAAGATAAATTTTAAATCAATGATCATTATGCTATAGTAAGAGGAGGTCACTCTCAGGTCACATATCATAGACATTCCTTACATCATCGGAGTTATAAACAACTAAGATTATTTTAAACTTGCCTGAGTGACCATCTTGCATTTAGTTCGACTGAGTGAGAGTTTCTACAGGCTCGGGATTTGCCCAAACCTGATTTGTGACCCCACAGACTCAGCATCTTGTCCAACTGAGAATTGCTGTCACCCTTTTAAAGCCTGTTTTAGTACTGATGTGAGAAGACAGTTATGGGTTTAAATTTTTTGTTGCCTATGTGTTCTTTCTTTCTTTTTCTCAAGTTGCTCGTTAAGGTGACTGATCTTTTCCTTAAATGTAGTGATAGCACATTTCCTGCTCGAACACACTGTATTAAAGGGAATGAGACCACTCTTCTCTCCTCCTCAAATTTTTCTAGCTTTCATCTGCTACATGTGCATCGATACACTGTGCCTTTAATTTTTTTGTTAGGTTTTTTTTTCAGAGGAGGTACTTGACTGTGAATTTACCTAAGGCAAGTGAGTCCAAAGGAATTTTGTGTTTCAATTAGTCCCACAAGAAGGGGCTTATACAATATTATGCATGTGCCTATAGTAATTTGAGAAAGAAATATTCTTTTTTGAGGTCATAAAATATGATCTGAGCCACTAGGCTCCCTTGGGAAAGCATCTACTATTTTATCTGTAACATTTGCAGACCAGAGCATAAATTTGATTTATCTTAAATGTTTTCCCCTTCTACTCTGCACACATTTTGAGATTCGTGTTTCTGATTCTGTTGTTTTATGCTGTTCTGAATCACAAGGCTGATCTAGCCCTCGCTCTGGTCATGTTCTCCTGTACAAAACCCAAGTCCTCTTTTGTGGCAGACTATGAAACACTTTTTGTAGTTTTAGTATAATGAAAATCTTTATTGCTTTGGAAACAGAAAGAATTGTAAGCTGCTGATTTCTTTGAGATTGATCATATGATCAGTCTTTAAGAATGAGTCTGTATACTGCAGTGGGCTATTAATATTTTCTCCTATGACAACTAGGTAAAGCAGACAAATGCTTTACTTATCTCAGGTAATCTGTTCAGTGCTGCTGAAAAATACACAGAGCAGACAATTTCTGCCTCAGCAATGCACTGTGAGATACCCAAGAAGGAAAACAAAGTCAACTCGCTTTTAATTTCTTGTTTGGTCAGCCATTCTCACGCAGGTGGCAGTGAAAGAGCAGAGCTGTCTGTTCCTCAGAGCACAGGGTCTTCTGCAGTCCAGTCTTCCT